CCTCACGGCCGTACGCTCCTCCCGCCGTGCATCGAAGCATTCACGTCCGGCCACATGCAGATCCGCCCCCGGTGTAGTGCTTCTCGCCCGGTCCACGCGCCCCCCAGCCTTCTTGCTGTGCCCAAGAAGCCCCCGCCCACACGCCGTCGACGTCGGCCCACGGCTTATCGCGCGCCCGGACCGTCCACATGCTTGCCTTCACAGGACTCGTCAACGAGCGCCACCATCTCTGCCGCATGTGCCCAGCTTGCCCGCGCACGCGCTCGGCCGTCTTCCGACCGCATGCCTCCCTCTGCTTCTCTGTGGTGCAGCGCAAGCTCTGTTCGCCCGGCCTCTACGGCGTACGTGGAGGAAACGCTGTGTCTCGAATTAACTCTCCTGGGGAGCGGGAGAAAGCGGACTGGAGAGAGCGCGGATCGGAACTCTGGAAACCGCATAATCAGCACCGCTGGGTGGTCGATGACGCGCAAGCCCTGACGCACCTCCCCTCCCCTCCCCTCCCCTCGTCCGCAGACACCGCGCGGGCTCTTCCGGTTTGCGCGCTGCCCAGACCATTCCACACGTCCGTATCCACACTCTCAATATCGCACCCGAATAGACGCACCTCATCCTGCCTCCATTCTGACACCTGCCCACCTCCTCCCACTCCGCCCCCTCTTCCTCTTCCTCGCATCCCCCGCTCTCGTCGCCCACACCCCCGATGGTCGCCTGCCCCCGTCGTCGCGCACCACACCTACCCGTGACCACTGCGCATCACATCTGAATACACCGCACAACATGGCGCGCGCCAGCCATCCCGGTACCCTCGCCCTGCTCTACCTGGCCTTATCCAACATTCCACATTGCGTCCTGCGTGATGGTCCAAAGCGCTTCCTCGGCGCCCAGGGGCCCGCGGGCTGTCCCGATTGTCATGTAGGGGGCAGACTTTCCACTCCACTGAGCCGGCTCTTCACCAACGCGAGGTCTCAAAAACCCACCCTTGCGCAGCGGGGGTATCGTACCGCACCCGCACCACGCGTGCCCGTATCTCCTGCCAAGCCGTGTTGCCCAGAGTCGCCACGCCCAGCCGCACGGGCGTATCGCGCGCGCGGAAGCAGATACGGCGCGGGCGAGCGACGTGCCCCCTCTCCTCCGATCTGGCTGCGTCTGCCAGGGGCACGACGGACACCCCTGCCTTTCCCGGCCGGCCCGCCGCCACTATCACGTCCAGACAGGGTTGCATGCGCTCGCGGGCCTCGCATGTGCGCCGCCGTCACGCGTACGCACTCGCGCACTGGCATGGGGAGGGGCATCGCAGACGCGCCTCGTGCGCTTGCCAGCTGAATGCATCTGGACACCGATGTGGGAGAGAATTTAGCCACCTCTAGTTGCGTCCCGTTGTAACGGGGAATTCTAACGCGCTACGCCTTTCGTGGGATCTCACGCAACTCGTGTCATCAAGGTCTCTCTGTCTCAGTCTCTTTCCTTTCTTTGCTCTCTGCATTCTACTTTCTCTATCTCTTGCACTCCTGTCTGGTCTCTTTCTCTCATTCTGTCTGTACTTCCAAGTTGACTCTATCAGTGCCGGACCCATTTCAGAGATGTTTCAAATGGATGAGATGTAGGAATTGTGCATGAGATGGCAAGCCTCCTGCACCTGTGGGAGGGCAGGTGATGTATGTCAATAGGATGCTGTCATTATTGCTGTGGCAGTTTTGAGTCATTGCTCAATCCTGGGAGAGCATTGATGAGTTGGCAACAACATCTGTGCTGATAATGCAGCTTCCAGAATGAATCAGGCAAGTTTCTGAACTATAGTTGGTATCCAGTCAGTGTACACTCAAGGTCAGCTCGGTGACAAGGTGATGTGATAGGAAGTTTTTCTTGGCAGTGTTTGTGTATAAATATGGACACTTGAGGCTGGTGAATGCATCAAATCTTCCCTGGCTTAATAGTCTCATCTTCACTAGAATTGTCACTCAATTGTTGCATCACCAAGCTGCATCGGTTGTCAAATTGCAGTTGTCAGGTTAGCAGGAATAACAGTTGAAGCTAAAGTTATCAGTATTGAACAATCTATAGAATGGTAACAACAGGGGTAGCTGATATCCCAGCCTGCACCGCGAGAGGCTCCTGGCTTGAGAAAGGTGACAGCCAATCCCGCCCTCAATTCTCTCTCACACCGTATTCTTATCGAACGATGTGCGACGATGTACTTGGCTGTTGAATTTGACTTTGACGATACGCGCACACAGAGACGATACAACAGTTGTCAATGCTCTCCCAGAATCGAGCAATCGCTCAGAACGCTCGCTTCAATGATGACAGTATCCTATTGACGTGTGTCACCCTTCAGCTTCAGGTACAGGAGTCTCGTCTCGCACGAGGGTCCTATGTCTCGACCGTTTGAACACGTAGGGCAGTCTTCTTCCACTCTGCCTCCCATACTTATCCCGGGGGCGCTCTCCTTTGCCCGTCTCAGTGCGCGTGCTCTGGATGCCACGGTCGGGCCGCAAGCCGTCGACAGACGTCACCCCCTTTGCGAGTTCGTCTGCCATTTCGAATCTGTTTCTGGGGATGCACAGCTGGCCCCCGGGGCAGACGGGCGGCATCATCCATCAGGACGCAGAGCTCCCATCCGAGCGGGCGTGCCCAAGCTCGGGTACGTCCCAGGCAGCGGGCTTGCCCGTCCACATGGGCCTGGCGAGCACACGAGCGAGCCCACGCGAGCCACCTGTGCACGTCAATGCAATTTGACCGACCGCGATCACGCGGGCCAATATTAAACATCAGCTGTGCGCGATGCGATGATATCATGCCTCGGCCGCAGCATGTGCAGGCTGCGAAGCCCGGGGCGCGTGCCGCCGGCTGCTCCTGCGCCCTCTCACACGGCGACGGTGCAGTCCAATCGACCGCACACGCGCTCCGGGGGTGCACGCATCCATATTCATAATCGCTTACAGGCGTGATTGCACCGCGGGGAAGCGTCGCCGTGCCATGCGCTTCGGGCCTTTGGCGCGTTCGCGCGCGGGGCAGCTCGGCGAAACCCGCAGCCTGGGACCGGCGCTGTCTGGACCTCGGCGACGTCGTGTAGAGTCGAGTCCTGGGATCGGGGATGGTATACATGTGTGCGTGTTGCTGGCAGCTGAAGAGCAAAAGTCATCGTGGGACAGGTTTGTTGCGGTGGCTGATGATTCAGCTGGTGTGACAGTACAGTAGGGGATCCGACTAGTGCGACTGCACTTTGATCAGCTTGGCCCCGCACGGCTGGCCGATGGGGCCGGTGTCCAGTGCGACGCCCAAGGCAGCAGCGGCGGGCATGAGGATGGCTGTGAGTATTGCAAGTTTCATGGTGTTGTTAAGAGGGCGTTGATGTTAGTGCAGGTCCTGTTGCCCAACCGAGTGCGCATACGTCACTTTAGATGTGGAGGCCGCGCACCGACATCGTGCAGAAACGGTGACCCCAAAACCTAGAGTGGAATGTGAGGGCGCGGCCCTGCAGCGTTAGACACTGGCTTTGAGGGTGGGTTACCGCTGTCGTCTTGATTTTGGGTGCATCTGTGACCCCTTGCACAAGAGCGTCAGCCCGACGCTATAGCTATTGACGTCTGCTCCACTCTGTTGCAGGTCAAAGCACTCACCAGGGATGTCACAGGGCTCGCCAACGGGGTTGTACGCGCGCGCAACGCTCGGCATGCCAGCAGCAGACATGGCCATAACTGTGAGCGGGATGGGCTTCACAATTCCTCCAACACAAGGGGGTTGCGAGTGCTGGTTCTTCTGGCGGAGGATACATCATCCGTGCGGAGCCAGCGCGTTAGTCGCTATTCGTAGGAACAGCCATGAATGCCCGCGCAGCAGAACGCATCGCATGACACACCACAGCATTACAGCAGAAGACGGCGATTGGATTGTGGGCAGCCCGCACCGCGCGGTCGACCTTAGGTGGTCTATGTGCAGCGTCAAGGATGTCGGCTGAGTTGGATATATAATTTTAGAGTGCCCACATGGGCTGTACTATACACCTGCGCCTTGGAAGATGGCTGGAGTCTGTCGGACTGCAATGATTGCACTGTGTGTGGCCCAAATATAGACCCGAGTCAATGTTGCAGCCTGGCCACCTTCATTGCAAGTCGAAGGAGACCTGTACAAACCGAGACTAGCTAACGGTCTCGGTCCCAGGCCCAAGCATATACCTAGGGATGGCTAAAGAAGACGTTACAAAACTTCTGCGCTGCCCGCCACTTGGATGTGAAAGTGCTCCAGAGGACTTAGAAAGCCGTGGTGGAGATGAATCGACCACGCTTATTGCAGAACATACGGAAGAAGGTGCTGCTGTATTGGGAAATTCTGGGCTCGAGTATTGCGTAGCACAGTGGCACTGGCGGGGTTGGTGTCTCCGGGAGCCTTGTCCACATAGCGCAGAGAAAGGGTGCACACACCGAGGGAATTCCGTTTGACATTGTGCTGGCGCAGCCGCTCACGGTCGGAGAAGGATCACAGTGGGGATGGCGGTGCGATCCCACCACTCAGTCCTGCTCCTTGAATCCAGTCACCTCAGTTAGCAGGTCTCCATGGCACGTATCTGGGCAAAAAGTGGCTCATGATGGTTGTTCATGACCGCTCTACCAAGCACCATGGCTGGGACGGCGCGCGGTGTAAGAGCTAGGTTTCACATCGCAGACACGAAATAAAAGCAAGGCGAGCGTCACCGACTCGCAAGGATCTTCAAGCTTGAAGCTTCAAGGATTGTTAGTAGAAATTGCTGCACTGAGCCATGTCGGGTTGTCTGAGTAGTCTGCATGGGCGCTGGCGTATTTTACCCACGGTGTGACGGTGCGCGCGCATGATCAAGTCCTTGGCGGGTGACAAGCGCGCACCCAAACACGAACGCACGTGGTTCTTGAGGATCGCTCTCAGCCAACTCTTTCGCAAGTGCTTATTAGTAGCGCGTGGTGAGTGGACGGTGTGGAACCTTCTCCGCCGTTGCGTTGCTAACATAAGAAGAACTAACATAAGAAGAACAGGACAGTCATTAGATCATGGTGGAAATGACCGGAATACGTCCCTCGCAACTGCGAGACCCATGTCTTGATGTAGCCGCTAGCTCGAGCCTGGGGCCACCCGGCTAATCAAAGTCGCTGCGGAAAATTGAGAAATTGCGGCAGTGCGCACACCTGCAGCACGATCGCGTCGAGTATCGGGGATTCAGTGCGATGCACATGAGATGCCGCTGGCGATAGCGCAATAATTTTGCGCGCGCCGACAATTCGCAAGTCAAAGTACATTCGCTGCACATGCACACCGGCTCCGATGGTATGAAAAACCGGAACCCACCCGGGTTTGCACCAGCGCATTGATGGCGCGTCCCAGCGTCGGTGGGCGCGCGAGGTATGTCGCCATATGACACCGTTTATTTTTTGTCTGCACATCAACCTCCTTCCCGCCCGATCGCCTAGTCGCTCCCGTCCTTAAATCGACGCATGCTCCGCCTGTTCCCATCGACTCCCCTCCCACCGGTGTAAATTTCCGCTGCCGCCTGCTCCTTCCCAGCAGCAGCCATGCCACAGCACGAG